TTTCTTTTTCTTTTACTTTGGTCTTCGACAGGCTAAGTGTTTTGACACTTCTTTGTTCGACTGACGCTGCTTTCTGCTTCAATTGACACTCCCAGACGTTATCTCGCGTGTTCAGCTTGTGCTCCTCGCCTCACGATCCAGTGACACTTTGCCCAGCCACCATGGACGCGCAGTGGCAGCAATACTACTGGAATCATTATTTGATGCAGCAACATCATCAGCAGCTTACCAACCCTGACACCGCAACCTCACCTCCCACCACCACTCACCACACCTACAGCCCCACTGGCACCTATGGCCCACTCACCCACGCACTCCGTACACACCACGTCCACCACTCCAATCCGTACGTGACTCCACCATACACACCGCCATCGCAGCATACACCGCCACCACAAGCACCAACCTCACAGCCGGAGTTCCCACCTCCACCCCCGCCACCCCTCCCTACGGCCGAACCTGTTACTCCACCACCATCGACCTTCCAACACAGCCCACCGCCACCACCAACCGCCCGTGCCGGCACAGCACCTGCCCCACCACCACCACACATCCCATCCCCACTCCACCAGTTCCAGACTCTTGGAACCCAACCGACCAACATTGGGACTCCAACACCCTGCACGGCCACCAACTACATCGTACAATCCAACCCACCCAGTGGTCTCGCAAAGCAGGAGTGGCAGGACTCCCAACCTTTGAAGTCTTCCCGTGGCAATTGGCTTACCACGGCACCTCCGAATTTACTGCCCGCACACTTAGCGACGGCAAATACACCGGATTTATTGCCACCAGAAGCATTGCGGAGTCGGTTTTCGTGACCCACCTTCTCCAACAGCTCCATGAGAAACGCCTTGACCTTGACGGCATCGCGGAGACCCTCCACACCCAACAAGGCACGGACATCCCCAGCAAAACCACCCACGCCCGAGCGTTCCACGCTCCCCTCATCCAACTACTTGTCGACCAACTACAAACTCATTCTCCGGCACCTGCGGAAGGCACCGCTCTGCGCACCCTCAAGAACACCAACGACGAACTGGCCCGCGCACGCCAAAAGCTCCACGACCTGGGCAACCCACTCACCCCAGTCAAGAGCACCAGCCGATCTTCCGCACCGGCCGCCCCATCCCATGCACCTACTCCACCACCACCAAAACCGCCAGCCCTCACCGACGTCTTGCAACCCCCACACCCAACACTGCAAGATGATATCCCCGAGGGCTGGAACCATCCAGAGATCCAACACTGGGTCACCACCTTCGACCCCACCATCCAAGAAGCCGCCAAGGACGTCGTTCGTTTGCTGCAAACGAGCAAAGTCACCACGCAGCAGCTCAAAGAAGCAGCCACACGGGTGTTGGAGCAGCCATCGGCTGCTGACTCGCCATCCTTGCCCAGCAGCAACCCAGCCACACCAACCTCACCCAACTTTTCCACTTGCACCGAGCACTCTCCGTGCTCATTCACCACACCCAATACATCGACCGTGCCGAGGCCATCTTTGCCACTGGCCTTATCCATATCACACTCCCTTTCGCATATCCTTCCAACACCCGTCGCTCACAACAATGGCGCAACCGTCTCCGCCAGCTTCACATCTTGCCCCACACATACCACTACCACAACTTCCTCTCCTCAAATTCCGTTTACATCAAGCTCCACTTCAATCCTGACCAGCCCCAACGCTGCTACCATCAACATGGCCACTTCTATGTTGGCTCCACAGCCATTGGCATTCCCCACCGCGAACACAATCGCCGTGCCAAACTCAAGCAACTCCAGAACAACATCCCCATTTCTGCCGAACTCTCCTTACGTTATTGGCACTCACACAACAACATCCATCACTACACTACCATTCAACTTACCTCCCATGACACATACGACCAAGCCTGGATCCAAGAGCACCACTACATCGCAAACTGGATGCCTACGCTCAACTGGCCTTTTATTTTCCACCACCTCAAGCTCAAAGCTCAAGGCTGGCAGTTCACCAAACACAGAGCCCATTTCTACTCCAGATTAGCAACCCACAAACGACTCTTCCGACGCCTTAGGCAACGCCAATACACACTCAGAGAACCACACCTTTACACCTCCACCAAGCATCACGCCCTCCAACTTCTCCGCAACCTTACCAAACACACAGCAGCCTCCTTTGAAGCTGCCAAAGAGCTACGAAGCGGCCAGCGGCCGCCACACGGACCTTGAAGTCTATGCAATCCGGCGCATGGCCGCAAACCTTGAAGAACCCGGCCGCAGCAGAGCCCTCCACATCCTCAACAAAGCCCTGATCTACCGCAACCTCACACCGCCAAAACCAAATATTCCATTGACAGTGCCATTCCTGGCCCACGACGATTTCACCAAGCACTGCCAGCAGTGGCTTCGTACTACCATCCAGCAGCACAAGCACTTCACCATCCCCCTCCACCTCCCCTCCCACAGACTGCGAGAAGCGGCACACAGAACCCTACGTTCCCACCTGCATAACCACCGCACATGGGAGGACACCCTCCACTCCCCGCCAGATCCAGCAGACCTCCCCTGCGCATGCGATCATCTTCGCACCCTCCTGCAAGATCCCGATACCCCCACCATCAACGGCCACTACATTCTTACACTTGACCAACTCCAACTCCCTACACATCTCGGCATTTTTCTCAACGCCAATATAAACAGCACCTACTACCCAAGCAAGGCTCGATACTTTCTCATGTTCCAGACGGCCTACACGAAATGGCTCAAACTACAAGGGCTTCCGCCATCCCTCGTTCAACATTTGCAACCATTCCTTGAGCACCAATGGCGCCTCCACAACATACACCTCAAGCGGCACCCCCGTTTCACGGCTCGCCTGCTTCGCCAACTCCAAGAACACCTCGGCCAACACACATTACTTCACCATGCAGACCATGAACTACAACAACTCCGGCTGTTCTGCCCTCGCCAATATTTCACTGGCGCCTTGAATACATGGCAATCCCCCGAACTTTTCGAACCACTTCCCTTCATCACTGCCACCAATATCCACGCTCACCTGGCAGCCACTGTTCCTCCCATTCTGCGCACTCGCTACAAGTGGGGCTTCCGCAAAGACTTCAACATTCCTTACGGCGATGTCCACCTCAAGGAGAAGAAGCACTGGCAAAAAGGCCGTACAATATCATCTCATACTTCCAATCACTCAGTGGCAACCTACTTCGCATTACCAGCCGTGCCCTTGACATCATCATCCTCCAACACCTTTACCCTCAGCATCCCGGCCAAATGTCCATTCCCCAGCTTTTGCACCATTTTCACAGCTACCTCACCCAAACCCCACCAGACATCTCACTACACGCCACCAACGATGACTTGGTCGGCTTCTTCAACTCAGTTCCACAGCACAGACTTATCGATGCGGTTCACTCTCTCGTCCACCACTGGCAACAACAGCAATCCACACACACCCTCACGGTGGATGTCAGGCCACCGGCAACCCGTTCCACCACTCACACATTGGCAGACATCATCGAAAACACCCTATCCAACGCACCATCCAGACTTCAGACATCACCACCATCGTGGCTTTTGCCCTCAACACATGCATTTTCCGGGCTTGCAACAATACTTATAAACAAATCCGAGGGGCCGGGATTGGATCCCAGCTCTCTCCAGCCCTATGCAATGTCGCCATCACCCTCATTGAGCATTCCT